AAAAAAATTGACCCGCCCTAATGTATATATGTCAGTCTTTCTTAGTTTAAAAATTCATCTCTTACATAAATGGAAAATTATGAGATCAAATTAAGCATAGTATGAATAGAATCTCCAATTTTAAATTCATGTGGCCAAAAAAAAAATATGTGGTAGCTAAATCTAGCCAACAAAGGGCTAAAACGGCAACACTGTGGACAAAAGGTACGTTTCGAGCAGAGTTCGTAGAGCGCTCAAAATTTGCTCTTGCTCTTTCGAGGTATCACCCAAAAAAAAAAACAAATGCCATGGAAAATATTTTTAGAGTAAATCGATTTACACTCTTGCATACACTCTTGCATACACTCCTCAAACACTTGTATTATTCATGCCTGGATTATAATGGAAGTAACGGAACGGAGTGAACTGTCACTTAATNTTGCATACACTCCTCAAACACTTGTATTATTCATGCCTGGGTTATAATGGAAGTAACGGAACGGAGTGAACTGTCACTTAATTACACTGTGAGACAAATGGTAGGGGTCAGTGATCGGGAAGGGTTCAAACTACCGGGGAAAGTTATATCGGTAAAAAAGAAGTTATACGTGTCCCGGCGTTTCGCTGCTTAAAACAGTTTCATAAAAAATTTCTTTCGTTTTATTTACGTGGCTTCCTTTATCAGGTATTCGTTTCTGTCTATATGTATATGTACATGTAAGATGGGAATGTAATTAGAATTCTTTGAAGATAATATTGAAGTAATTCTTAGAATTAGTATATGTACATATGTATGTATTTATGCTGATGCGTTTCAATTGATGCTAATTTGTAGCAAACATAGCACTCGCACCTCAAAGGATTAATTTGTTTGTTTACAGTTTTTTGACATTATAACTAGCTACAACAGAGTTCGAGCTATTCGTCACTTCTACCTTATGGAATATGCCTTGGTTGTGAGCAGTGTTGCCGTTTTAGCCCTTTGGTGGCTAGATTTAGCTACCACATACTTCTTTTGGCCACATAAATTTAAAATTGCCCCTAGCCCTTTTTTTAGCCCTTTGGAGAATTTATTCATACTGAGCATGAAAAAGGCGTATATGCTTAATTTGATCTAATTTTTTGGCATTTATGTAAGAGATGAATTTTTAAACTAAGAAAGAATGATATATATACATATATGTATTGAACATACACGTTTTTATACATACATACTGTAAAAGTGTTAGGGCTGTTTTTTAACTTATCTATTAACGATTTAACTGAAGTTTAAAATAGACAAGTTTACGGCCCTTAGGGCCAGTTTTTCAGTGCCAGTTTAAACTTAGATTAAGTAAACTGAGTTTAAATTGAACAGCTGGCTGACATTTGATTGGCTGATCTTAGTTTAAACCAGCCAGACGGGGGTTTGAACTTAGTTTAAACCACGGCCGTGCACTGAAAAACTGGCCCTTAATATGCTTCATTTGTTAAATGGCCCATCAAATCGATTGACCGTGTATGTTCTTGTCTTTCAAACTATTTGAATATTTTATGATTGTACCAGCATGTGGTGTCCTGAGTGGTGAAATTAGCTCAATTTTCTAAGTAAAAAGTATTTTGGCGGAAATTTCATGCACTATATTAGTCAAAGCCGTGTTTGTGGAATATTAAGTTCACGATATTGCAGTTGTGAATTAAAAAAAAAACAATGTTTAACAAAATGGTAGAAAAATTATGAAATTTTGGCTCTAATCATTTCGATCTTTCCTCGACCTCATTTGTAAAGAAATAAATATTGTACCAGCATGCTGGTTTGTTATATGCTACGAGCCTGATGGTATAATCCCTTGATCGAGCCAGCAAGCTGGTGTCATATATTTCCCCTTTTATACAAAAAAATATTAGCTTTATTTCCAGAGTTCATTGTTTTTCTATACCATTACTTATTGAAAATGTTTGCGTGTATACTTATATATGATTATGTAGGTACACAATTTTAGCTATCATTTTTAGCCACAACGACTTTTTTAGCTCTTTTTTAGCCCTTTTTTTAAAGGAATTTGGCTACCACTAAAAATGCTTCGCGGCAACACTGGTTGTGAGACCATCTGCACTGTTTTCATCTCCTGAAAAGTATTTGAATTTATCAGTGATAAGTATTATGATGTGATATTCTTTCGTTATTTGAATTTTTGATAAATATATCGATGTGAAATCTGAACACTTAGTCAAATGAAACGCATACGCTACCCAAATTTTGCTATTTACTTAATAATAAAATAATGTAAAAAAAAAATATTAAAAAAAAGCTTTTATTTAATATGTACAATTAAAGGAATAAAATAAAGTAGTGTAACAAAAGATTTTTAGCAAGAAAATTTTGTTAAAACTG